TGAAACTTCTGTTTTCAACTTTTGGACTAGCTTTGGTGATTGTTGTTCAATAAACAAAACGCAATACAGTATGTTTTTTGGCAATTCTAGCCGGCTCCTCAAAATTTTTGAATTCGTTTTCCTGACGCTATCAAATTCCATATTTAGACAACCCAATCCTCACAGAAGTATAAACGACCAGCAACCAGGGAATCATTTGATGCAGCTTCCTGTGCTCTTTCTGATAATCTTCTTTCCTGTCTGATTTATATAAAATCTGATGAGGAAATCATTATAATTCTTGTTTCCAGGTTCGCCCCAAGCTGTACATAGAAACTCGAACTTCACTACTTCAAACAGCTGAACGTTCAGTTACTGTTCAAAATAGCGATATTTAATAAATTGTTCTTGGAGGCCTCGAATTCCGACGATTTATCAGTGTTTGAAGCGGTAGTGCATTTCACGACTTCGCCAAAGTATAGACCTTCGGAAAGATTATTTTGAGAAATACTGAAAACCCACTTGAAAAGGCGAAAATAGTTCATAATATTGAATTTTGTCTATTCTATCCAAATTTTATCGAGGCTATTCCAAAAGTTAAAAATGGAAATTTTTAAAAAATAGCCAATCAGGTTGAGTAATGATTATTTAGGCGGACATCAAAGAAATCAGAGCGAAAAATAGCTGTTAGAAAGAGGACGAAATTCTGCATCGAACATGCTTAGAGAATTTGTCTTACTTCTAAGTAGTATGAGCGTGGGTCTGAAAAACGGCACAAACTTTCGGACCTACCCAATATTTTATAAACTCTTCCGGTTAGCAGTGTACCAACTTCATAATCGGAATGTGCCAAAGTACACGGTAGTAATAGTATTTCTGAAGTTTCACCGACAGAATGCTGAAATTTCTCGAGTTGTCTCGTTATCGTGCCGAAATGATTTGTGAACTGATTAGCGCGGTCATTGAGTGCGCACGGCAGTGGTCTGACCTTGTGCCACAGGTGACCCATTAAGTACTCTTGACAATAGGGAAACTTGCTAGATCATTTTTTCTCCTCTTGTACCTCCCCATACCCTTGGTCGGTTGGTTGTTTGCTCTGGGTAAACTCAGCGACAACTGGTCGCAGTTCATGTTAATGTGCTCTTTGCTACAGTTTTGTACAGTTCCTTGTTCTCCAAGCCTTATTGAAAGTCATTTATCATGTTTCTCTTCCAGCAACAGAGATAAATCCTACTTACTCAACATGGGAAAGTCTCTGGAACAAGTTACTATTTTAACCAATCCAGACTTCAAATATTGGTCTCAGATAATCCCCGCGGTAAGCACCCTTTATAGTTCTCTTCGAGAAAAAGGGAAATAGAAGCGCCACTAAACTTATGTATATTCATGTTTTAGATGGTGGAAACCGAAGATTGGGCATTTGTTGATGAAGACTATATTACATGGAAGAATTCCTTTGAAAAATTCTGGTTATTCACTGCCATTGACAAAGGTATCCACATTTGTGATTGTACCATATTATATCTAAAACAAGTCGTCGTTGATTTATGAAACGCTTCACTAGTTAATTCTTCTCAGCAAAGAGTAAATATGCAAAAAAAACCCCTGTACTTGAACTTGCATGGCTCTGCGTTTTTTGAAGAATTAGGTCAGTCCGAAACTTTCTGCCGTTTTCCAAGCCTATACTCAAATCGTTCAGAAGAAAGATAGACAAATGCTCTAAACAGTATTCGATGCAGAAAATCTTATCGCTAGCGGTGATTTCTTTTTTGTTCCGTGTTTTAATAATGGCTCGAATTCAGTTCAGTCATTTTTTGAAAATTTTATTTTTGGCCTTGGGAAAATTTCAATTACTGCTGGGTAGAGTAGACAAAATGCAATAAAATTTAGTTTCTTGGCATCTACTGGTTTTTTCTTTCTAATGTTACAAGTTTCGCATCTGGTCATCCCAAGCCTCAAGATATGATGGCGAGCAATCAGGTGTCATTCGATGCAGCTTTTTCTTCCCTTCGAATAGATGTTTTTTCTTCCTGATTAAATGATTAAATCTACAAGAAAATCATCCGATACTATCCAAAAAATATAAAACTTGATATGCTGAAGCGGTAAACGCTCGTTTGCTTTTTGAAACTGATGTTCACATTATGTGTATTTGAAAGTTTCACATCTCAAAGATTTTTTAGTGTTGAGCTTTTATTCACTTCATTTCAAACCGTAAAAGTGAAGGCTTTCAGAAAAATCATTTTGTAAAGTGGGAAAATCATTTGAAGATGCTCAAATATTCATTTGTATTGCACTTTATTTCTAGATGCGATCTCTACAAAGGCTCTTTCATAATTCTGAAATGAAGTCTTCATAAATAGCCAAATTTAAGGTAGGTAAAAAGCATGGGTTGGGGATTCTGGCGATTAGCAACCATCAAAGGTCTTGTAACAAAAACATTACTGCAAGAAAAAGGAAGATTTTCTACTTAACTAGTGTTTAATGCGTTTGCCTCATTATTCTCTGTGCTTGGTCTGAAAGTGGCACGAACTTTCGGAGCACGAATTCGAAAGTTCCGAACATCTAATAGAAAGATAAGATAGTTTTTCCAAGCTAGTGCGAACCAAACACTGATTTCAGTACATTTAGAGTGTAATTTGCTCTTCCAGCACACCGAATGTCACACAATTTTATCGAAAGAGGTCCTCGCTCTTTACTGTCGAGCCTAAATTATGTCTGCTATTGTCAAGCTTGACTTCGCTCTTTCCGAATTTTTGGTTACTCGAAGATGCCACCGAGGGTTCAGCACAGGTGGCTTGAAAGCAGGCTTGATATCGTTTTTTGGGACAAAAAGCAAGAGGGGTTTCGTTTTTGAGGTCGAAAAGACACAAGAACTGCGACTTTCTTAGTCGACGTTTCGTTTTCTGAGGGTTTGTTACGTTTAGAGTTTAGGGTCAAAGGTGACTTCGTAAAATTTAGCAAAAGTCAAGGGGGACTTCGTTTTTTGCATTTTCGGAGAGCCACCTCGCGCCGAGCCCTGTGCTACACCCTAGACCATCAAGCTTCAAATATCTCTTGAAACTACTTATTTAACATCCAAGAGTTCGTGCTGATAACATTAAACATTCAACATCCAAGAGTTCATGCAGCTACAAAACCTACCTCAAAATTTTTTTTTAAGCAGAGCGTTGTCAGTGTTCATCTAAACTTTACTGAATCTATTACAGATACAGACGAAACCGTTGGAAGTATAACTCTAGCATTTGATCGCTCCATATCTGGTGATGACGAATGTTATTACGTAGGTTTTGCCAATTTTTACAGATATTCTCGTCTAATCAAATTTGATAATTTTGCCAGGTGGGCATGTTTTATGTGCGTGAAGAGTGGCGAGGCTCTGGAGTTGGTGTCGCATTGTTTGACAAAGTCATGGAAATTGGCCGTAATTCAAATATGACTTTGCATGGAGGTAATTTATCCATAGGTTAACTCACTCATATGTACTGATCTAAAATAACATTATTACAGTTCTGAAAATGTCGCCGAAGTATGCAGCGAAGTATGGATTCGACAAAATGCCAAATTATAAGCATGTGTTTGCATCAGTACCCACCGAACATCTTGTAATACCGGAAGCGGATCCGCAATACATTTTGAAGGTGGGTTTCCTTCGGAATAAGTGTAAAAGTATTA